TCCTCTCTTCCTGCTGGTCCGGACCCTGCGTCTGACTCCCTACGTGCTGCTAGTCCAGCTGTCACGCGTTTTCTGGCCACTGCTGTCACTGACCCTTTGTTTGAGTCCCCTGCTGCGTCTGCTCTCGTTGCTGAGCTTGTTGACTTTGCTGCAGCCTGTCGCCTAGACTTCGCCACTAGTCTTGTTGCTGTGTCTGCGTATGCGTCTGTCTGTCCTCCGTCCGTCGGGGGTGAGTGTGCTCTTGGCACGGACGTTCTTGAGGACAGACAGGAGGAGTTTGAGTGCTTTGCCGCTGCTGTACCTCATCTCGTGTCCATGCTGCTTGCCCCTGAGGGAGACCCGGATGCACCAGACATCCCGACCCCGTGCTCCTACGCAGAGGCGATAGAGGGTCCCTACTCCTCTCAGTGGCAGGCAGCCATGGACGCCGAGATGGCTTCCTGGAAGTCTACAGGCACCTACGTCGACGAGGTTCCCCCACCTGGGGCGAACATCGTCAGTGGCATGTGGATCTTCAGGGTGAAGCGTCCGCCGGGTTCTCCGCCTGTCTTCAAGGCGCGTTACGTTGCACGTGGCTTCAGTCAGCGACAGGGAGTTGACTTCTTCCAGACCTTCTCCCCTACCCCGAAGATGACCACTCTTCGGGTACTGCTACACGTAGCTGCTCAGCGTGACTACGAGCTCCACTCCCTTGACTTCAGCACAGCCTTCCTACAGGGCAGCCTGCACGAGGAGATCTGGCTGCGCCGCCCACCTGGCTTCACTGGGTCGTTTCCTGCTGTTTCCTGCCTCCGGCGGCCAGTCTACGGTCTCCGCCAGGCACCCCGTGAGTGGCACGACACTCTGAGGACCACTCTTGCTACTCTTGGTTTTGCTCCTTCCACTGCTGACCCTTCTCTGTTTCTACGCACTGACACCACTCTGCCGCCGTTCTACGTTCTCGTGTACGTAGACGACCTTGTCTTTGCTACTGCTAACACTGAGGCACTCGCCCACGTGAAGTCCGAACTACAGAAGATACACACATGCACCGACCTGGGGGAGCTGACAAGCTATCTTGGCTTGCGGATCACCCGGGACAGAGCACAGTGCACCATTACCTTGACTCAGTCACACATGGTGCAGCAGGTCCTTCAGCGCTTCGGCTTCACGTACTCCTCGCCACAGTCCACTCCTCTGCCTACCGGTCACTCGCTCTCAGCTCCACCTTCGGACGAGTCCGTAGAGCCGAGTGGCCCGTATCCAGAGCTTGTGGGCTGCCTCATGTACTTGATGACTTGCACACGACCTGACCTTGTATACCCTCTCAGCCTTCTGGCTCGCTACGTGGCTCCCGGTAGGCACCGAAAGGTGCACTGGGATGCTGCGAAGAGGGTGTTGCGCTACTTGTGCAGTACATCGGGCATGGGGCTCATGCTTGGAGGACGGGCTCGAGTTGTCCTCACTGGTCACGCTGACGCCTCCGGGGTTGACGACTTGGCTAAGCTGCGGTCGTCACAGGGTTACACCTTCAGTCTTGGCTCCGGTTCTGTCTCTTGGCGGTCTACCCGCTCTTCTTCTATTCTCAGCTCCAGTTGTGAGGCTGAGATCTACGCTGGGGCCATGGCTGCACAGGAGCTACGCTGGCTGACCTACCTGCTGACCGACTTGGGAGAGGCGCCTCGTTCTCCTCCAGTTCTGTACATTGACAACAAGGCCATGTTGGCCTTGTGTCAGGAGCACAGACTGGAGCACAGAACGAAGCACATTGCTCTGCGCTACTTCCTTGCTCGAGAGTTGCAGCAGCGTGGCCAGCTTCGTCTTGCTTACGTGGCCTCACAGGCCAACACTGCTGATGTTTTCACCAAGGCACTTCAGCCTTGTGATCATCATCGTTTCTGTACTGTTCTAGGCCTTGTACCTACTGTGCCTCACTTGCTGACTTCTTGACTCTGCTTGTACTGTACTCTATATACTTATACCTGCATGCTTACACTTGCTAGGTTGTGTTCTCTGTATTTTTTGCTTTCCTTTATATAACTCTGCATGTGAACTGGCCTTGCGGCCCTTAGCTTGTGCTCAGACTGCGTGGTGACTTTGTGATCCACCCTGAGCTTGCTTTGCCTTCTTGACTGGTCTTGTGACCCCTTGTTCTCCCCCACTTTGCCTATGGGGGTGTGTCAAACTTATATATGCTATAGTCTGTTTAGGCTGTAGTGGGGCAGTTCTTATAGGGTACAACACTTTTAGGTTTCCTACTTGTACCCACCTGCTTCCTAGTTCATTCATTCCTCTCATTATTCTCACAGACCGCCGACAGAACCAGTCATCACGCCCGAAAATATCCTGAGCCACCGAGTCCGTGACCCACGAGGAGCTCGAAGGGTCGAATTCCTGATCCGCTGGAGAGACCATACGCCCACCGAAGACAATTGGGTTCCCCTGGACAGAATCGGGAACCACCCTGTCCTCACCGAGTATCTGCGCAGCCGGAATTTCCGGGATGTACACGCGTTTTCGTAAGAGAGGCTTCCTTGGGGGGGGGGGGGGGGGTAGTGTAAGGAAAATTCATTTTCCTTACTTCGCATCCCTACTCAGCGCGTACACCACTGTTCCCGCCAACAACACCCCACAATAATCCGTTACCACTCGCGACATTCGCCTAAACACATTCCCACCACTGTTCACGATGCGACCCAACCTCACGGTCCTCACGGTTCGGTTGGTAACCCGCGCTCCGGACCTCCGCCTCGACAATCCCCAACCTCGGCGCCAGGCCCGTCGCGCACCCCATGTTTCCACACGTTACCGTTACCGCCAGGGCTGACGTTTCATTTTAAGCTTCCCTGATTCCGGGGAAAATTTTCCCCCTCTATTATGGGTGCACATTTTCCAGAAAAGCAGTACCCTGATTGCTCAGGTTTGTAAAGTAGTTAACACTGATTGTTCAGGGTCGAGAACTGAACATCAGAGTAGTAACGCACGCTTTGTTACCGCGGAAAAATATCCCCACTCTCCATAAAGTCTCGAAGTTTCGATCAGAACGAAGTTTCGAAGAAACTTCGTCTCGATAAAGCGGGAAGGGGGGGGATTACGCACATGTGGGGGGATCACTGCGATCAATCCAAGGCGGGGTCATCGGAATGAAACTTCCGAGAAACTTCTTTTCGATAAGTCGGGGAAAATATCCCCACTCTCCATAAAGTCTCGAAGTTTCGATCAGAACGAAGTTTCGAAGAAACTTCATCTCGATAAAGCGGGAAGGGGGAGGATTACGCACATGTGGGGGGATCACTGCGATCAATCCAAGGCGGGGTCATCGGTAAAAGACAGTTCAATCATTCGTCTTGTAGCTCTCGTCGTTGCTTGCAGACTCGCATGGTACGTCGTTAAGTGAGTTCACTTCATCGAGATCGTTCGGCTCCTGCTTTTGTACGCATCCTACTGTTCTGGTTCATGACCGTACATGTCCAGAATAGTTACTGTATCTCTACGGCGTGGCAGGCAGTCCCACCGACGAACAATTGTTCTTTCCAACAATCCAGGGCGGGCAGCTCACGGAGGGCAGGTTCTAGCGTCAGGCCACGACCACCACTGGCGTAGCTGAACAGTTCTGTCACGTCGTAGCTCTGTGCAATCACTTGCCCAGAAATCTGGGAACATGTGAAGGGCCGGTCTGGTCCGGTCGAGGTGGCAGTTCCAGAAGCCTCGATGTACAGTCCCAGCCTCGGCTTGGGCTTGGGGAGCCGAAGCCGAAGGTGTTGCCTTGTAAGCATGCGAACCAAGTGATCAGGCTCGCAACTGGACCAAGCGGCCAGGCTCGCAACTTTCAGCCACACCTCTTCGTTTGGCCTGTGGGAATGAAAATACAACTGACAAAGTGGATAGAGGGGTTTGAAGTGCGTTTCTGTGGGGCGGAAAGAGGCGAAGAGATGTCAACTGTTGCACAGTGCAAAGAGAGCGGCAAGTACAGTACTCCACTAAGTCCCAAAGAAAGCAGTCACAGCAGCAACAGTCTCGCAAAGAGATAGGTTAGGAGGTTGGTGGTTGTGCGTATTTCGCGCAAACGAACCTAATTTGCTGCTCTAAATTCGTTCCATTTCGTTTTGACCTACGCGACGTGGGATTTACTCGGTTAGTGCAATCGCACCTCGCTTTACTGCTCTCGACGTCTCTATCATTTATACAAGCGGCGTCAACCACCGCGCCTTAGTCGGGTCCTCTGAGGTACCAGCTTCCTCTTTTCTTCGTACTGTATCTATAGTGAGGTTGCGAGTCTTTGCCATGCACTGAAGCGTCTTGTCTTGCGGGATCTCGCTTCTGAGATTTCTCAGAAAACGAGTCGCAGATACCTGACTGTCGCCGCAACTTCCCTCCTCGTCTCACCTCTCGCCTCCGACCCGTCGCCTATCGCCGTCGCACATCGCACGTCGCACGACGCTCACCGCGCCGCTTCGCAAGCGTCACTTTCGATAACCATGTTCCTCGGAATCGCGCAATCATATTCCAAGCTCAACCTCCCTCCCATGATACTCCCGCCTGGTCTTTCCAAAAAAGTGACAATGCCGCGATTAAATACGCTCATTAAGCTCGTAGGCCTCGTTTTGTGCACCGCCGTTTGTGTCACAATTTTGAACTCCACCGGCTGCTGGTGCTTCAACAGAGGTTCCGTGAGCGGATTGAGCGCCGGTGCTAACGGCGAAGCAGCGAATGTCGTTGCGGAAAGCAGTCCGCTGTTTCGCTCATTGCGTGACGTAAAAAACGAGGATACGAACGGTGTTAGCAGCAGCGGTAGCAGCGGTAGCGGTAGCAGCGGTAGCGGTAGCAGCGGTAGCGGTAGCAGTCTCCGAACGTCCCAACTTATGGCGCCCGCGGACTCTGGTTTAGGTTCGGCAGTTTCCGAACCAGGTTCGGACGATCGGCCGTTCATCTACGTGTACGATTTAGGTCCGGAATACACGGAGAAAGTTATAGAGTTGAACCCGGCTTGGTACAACCATCAGTACGACGTGGAGCGTTACATGACGGATGTCATCCGGTCTAGTAATGCCGTACGTACGCTCGACCCGGAGCAGGCGACGCTGTTCCTCATCCCGTTCTTCGCGGCGCGCTACACGCTGTACTGCTTCCGGTCGTGGGAGAACAACATGCGGCAGGCGATCGAGGAAGGTTCCAGGGTACGTTTCAATTACTCTTAGAAGTGGTACGCGCGGCAGGCGTTCGAGCGGTTGGCGGAAGGCTCCACGGTGCAAAAAAACGCGACGCGCGGTTCCGCGCCAGGCAGGCTCGGCTCGTTTCTTGTCCTGTCCGCCGCTTGATTGACCTCCTTAGCAGCTTCCGTTTCACTTTTCGTCGTCCCCAGATTCCGCTCGCCCATCAGTTCCCGCCTCCTCCCTCTCCCCCCTTCCCCCTCCCTTTCTATCCCCCCTCTCTTTCCTCGTCCCCTCCTCCCCCGTTCTCCCCTCCCCCTCCCCCTTTCCTCCATACTTCCGCCATTTAATTGCCCCCCGTCCTTTCCGCCCTAAGCAATATTCCCATTTTCTTCCCAATACCCCCCTTTTCCGTACAAACAGGTATGGGAGAAGCTTATAACGAGGGTGCGGAAGGAGCACCCGTACTTCAATCGAACCAACGGACAAGATCACTTCGGCTTTGGCACGCTCGATCACGGCCGTTGCCACTCGCTCACGTTCGTGGACCCGCGGGTGTATGGCGAAATGTTCTTTGTAACCCTAAACGGCGACAAGCTGGTTCGCAGCACTCATTCCAGCCAAGGGCGAAATATGCAGGTAATTTTCGCGTTATTGCTTTGTCTCGTTTTGTTTGTTTGTTATTTGGTTGTTTGTTTGTTGTTTTTTGTGTTCCGTTATTGGGCGCCTCAATAACCATCCCCGCCCCCTACAAAACCCGCAGGTCATTTCGTACAACTACGGCGCCAAGATCACGGATCCGACGGTCCCAGACATCCCGTGCTACGTGCCGAACCACGACATTGTCGTGCCGGCCCTGGTCGCAAATCGGCTGCCCATCGTTCCGCCCTTTGAAACGGAGCGTGAGATCAAGGTGCTGTTCCGGTTCGGCGCGTCGCAGCACCACGGCGAGCCGCTGAAACACCACAACCGCGACATTCGGAAAGAACTGATTGAGGTGGGTGGGTGGAGGGGGAGGGGGGGAAGGGGGGGAGGGGGAGGGGGGGGAAGGGGGGAGGGGGGGGGGGGGAGGGGAGAGGGTAGGGGAATAGGGAGGGGGGGGGGGGGGTATTGAGTCGACAAAAAACGTACCATGGCGAGCAGCTGAAGCACCACAACCGCGACATTCAGAAGGAGTTGATCGAGGTGCGCGGGGGAAGGGGAAGGGGGGAACGGGGAGAGGGAGGAAGGGGGAGGGGGAAGGGGGAGGGGGAAGGGGGAGGGGAAAAGGGAGGGGAACAGGGAATGCGCATGCGAGGCGGAAAATGGCAGTGCGCGGATGGCAGGGAACAGGGCGAGCAGGGCACGAGGTGTGAGACTTGGCGGGGAAGTGGGGGGGGTATGAGATGGATGTTTTTTTAGGCGCCTCAAAAACGGGGAGTATGAGATGGTTGAGGAGGACGAGGTGAAGGAAAATTGTGCTATTAACGTCTGTCTGCCTCTCAGCTTTCCCGCTCCTCCCTTCCGCTCTCCATTCCCCTTCTTCCCCATTTCCCGTGTCCCTTCTCTCCTATCTCCCTCCAGATGTACAAGGGTGCGGGGCACGAGGGGTGGGACTTTGCGGAGAAGGGCGAGGATGAGACAGACGAGGAGTGGAAGAAGAGGGATTGTCCCTGTTACGTCTGCCTCAGTTCTCCGCTTTTCCACCCCTCTCCACCCTGTCCCCTAAACTCCTCCCTCCGTCCAGATGTACCAGGAGAAGGGATACGAGGGGTGGGATTTCTCGGAGAAGGGAGAGTATGAGACGGATGAGGAGTGGAAGATTGATTTCTGCATTCCAACTCCTCGCCTCTCTTCCCTGCTCTCTTCCCTCCCTTCTCTCTCCCCCCCTCTCTCTCCTCTCCCCCCCCAGATGTACAAGGAGAAGGGATACGAGGGGTGGGATTTCGCGGAGAAGGGCGAGTATGAGACGGACGAGGAGTGGAAGAAGAGCGAATGTCCCTGTTACTTCTGCCTCAGTTCTCCGCTTTTCCACGCCTCTCTCCCCCCAGATGTACAAGGAGAAGGGATGCGAGGGGTGGGACTTTGCGGAGAAGGGCGAGTATGAGACGGACGAGGAGTGGAAGAAGAGCGTCTTCTGCATCTGCCCGCCCGGCCACTCCCAGTGGACCAGCCGCCCCTTCAAGGTGAGATTCGAGATTCGTTATAATACCAATGGTATTCCGATCCGATACAGTATTTATAACCCAGTATCACTGTAATGGTAACCCAACCCAACCATAACAACAACCGTATTCCACCCACCCACTCACCTGCCTCCCACTCATTCCCTCTTTCATTCCCCCCTTCCCCTCTTTCCTGATTACCCCTTCCATCCACCCTTCACACCTCTCCCCTCCATCCCTTTCCCCCTCCCCCCACCTCAGGCGCTCATCTCAGGGTGCATCCCAGTGACGTTTTTCCGAGGCCACGACAATCCCTGGGGCGATGAGCTGGACTACTCGACAGTATCGGTCAACATCGATCCCGACCAGCTGCACACACTCAAGGAGCGGTTGGATGCGGTTCCAATCAAGAAGCTACAACGCAACATCGAGCAGATTCAGGTGAGGGAGACAGACAGTGCTGGGCTGGGTGGGTGGGTGGGTACGAGTCAACTTGTAGTCATGACAATCCCTGGGATGATGAGTTGCACTACTCGACAGTCTCGGTCAACATCGACCCCGACCAGCTGCACACGTTGAAAGAGAGGCTGGATGAAGTTCCCATTAAGAAGCTGCAGCGCAACATCGAGCAGATTCAGTTCAGGTGAGATGATGGGCATGCTGGGTGGGTGGGGGAGTAGGTACGAGTCAACTTGTATTGTATGCATAAGGAGGAGTCACGTCACGACAATCCCTGGGACGATGAGCTGGACTACTCGACAGTCTCAGTCAACATTGATCCCGACCAGCTGCACACACTAAAAGAGCGGTTGGATGCGGTGCCAGTCAAGAAGCTTCAGAGAAACATTGAGCAGATTCAGGTAGGTTTGTGGGTGGGTACGAGTCGATTTGTCTTGTTTGGATGATTGGAGGGGAGTCACGACAACCCCTGGGACGATGAGCTGCACTACTCAACTGTCTCGGTCAACATCGACCCTGACCAGCTGCACGCGCTGAAGGGAAGGCTGGGCGCTGTTCCGATTAAGAAGCTGCAGTGCAGCGGAACATCAAGCAGGTTCAGGTGGGTGTGTGTGTGGGTGGGTATGAGTCAGCCTGTATGTAACTGAGTGAGCTAGTTTCATGGGTCTTCCCAGGTGCATGGACAATTGCTTCGTGTCGCAAAGCCCGTGTCGCAAAGCTTGTGTCGCAAAGCTTGTGTAGCAAAGCTTGTGTCGCAAAGCTCGTGTCGCAAAGCTTGTGTCGCAAAGCTCGTGTCGCAAAGCTTGTGTCGCAAAGCTCGTGTCGCAAAGCTTGTGTCGCAAAGCTCGTGTCACGATTGAACACTCGATTCCATTTCCCATCCTTCCCCATCCTTGGTTTTCTCCCTGAACAACAGGAGGCTTACCGGTGGACAGGGCTGTACAATAAAGGGGCAGAGGCCATGCTTATAAAGAGGCTGAGGCAACGAGGGAACCAGCTTCAAGCAGTGGAGCAGCGGAGATTACGGGCGCTGCAATGATGATGTTTTAATGAGGATGGGGATGATGGAAATGAGGGCAACGAGGGAACCAGCTTCAAGCAGTGGAGCAGCGGAGGTTACGGGCGCTGCAATGATGATATGGCCAGGGGTGCTCGGTGGGTGCCTCAGAAGCCACTTCTGAGGCGCCTCAAAAGCAGCAGCGGATGGTACGGTCCCTGCAATAGGGACGATGAGGAGGACAGGAAGCAGCTCATTCATAAGGCATCGTACCTACGATCGCAACTTTTGTCACAATGATTAATCTCAGGATGTGGATCAGCAGAGTAAAGGGCTCTGGAATGATTATGTACTGTGCTGACATGAAGGGAGCGGAAGGGAGCGGAGCCCCTTTGAAATATCCAAGTTTCAATCCAGCTTGGAACATTTACATCGGTGCGGGCGAGCCAACTGGAAGTTTTTTTAGAATTCTCAAAACACACACGGGTGAATGCTGGGTAGAGAGACTAAAAGGCAGATTGGGACACATCGATTGGGACATATCGATTGGGACATATTCTACAGCAGAATGTAGGCAGCTGCAGAGTCGTCTCGTGACTCGTCCCACAGCAGTAGAAGAACTGGGCAGCAGTACCATACGTGACATATGGTATAGCTGTGCTGTTCAGAGTGATCTTTCGAAGTCAAGCAAAAGAAAAAAATACTGTCTAGAATAAGATAACACATACTAGCTAGTGGAAGTGTGCTCATTGTTTCTTGTAGTGCTAACGAGTAAGCTTCTAGGATGAGAAGAGGTAGACCATAATAGCATCTCTCTACAGCAACAAAGGGTGTTGTGTCAAGTTCCCCAAAAACGTATGACCTACAGGAGACAGGTAATATCTGTAGTAAGAAGCAACCTCCTGCCTCCATACAGATACGGAAAGGCAAGGTAGTGATCCTCATCCCTATATATACATGTTACTATATATAATAAATACAGCGTTATCTGTAACACACGTGAAGATTCGTTACCAAAGAAAGGATTTGTTTTTGTTTTTGTTTTTTTTTTGTAAAATACAAGAACAACTTCTACCCTCATTTTCTATTGCAGGCACACCTGCTATAGGCGCCTTGCTATAGGAAGAGGGAGGTAGAGGAGAGTTGCTTGCCTCGCTGCCGTAGCCTCTTTATAAGCTCGTACTTTGCCCCTTGTGTGTGATTCCCCGACCACTTATTTCTAAGCTCCTCATTGAGTGGACTCAAAAATAGACTTTTGAGTTGACTAAAAAATAGACTTTTGAGTTGACTCAAAAATTGGGGGTGACATGAGGGAAGGAGGACCCTCAGCCAGCCCGTTATTTATAAGCTCCTACACTGCCCCTTGTGTATAGGGAGTGTACTTTTGAGGTGCCTCAATAGTGAGGCGCCTCGAATGTGGGTTCAGGTGAGGGAAGGAGGACCCTAAGCCAGCCCGTTATTTATAAGCTCCTACACTGCCCCTTGTATATGCATGCGCTACCGCTTGAACGCCACCGCACTCCACCCATTTCACCGCACTTCACCCACCGTTCCACCGTACTGCACCGATGCCAACCCACCTGCACTCTCTCGACGCCGCGCTGGAGTTGCTCCACGGGAGCGGTGTCGAGGCGGGAGCGCAGCGAAGCAATGTCGTCCGGATCGATGTTGATGGAGAAGGAGGAGTAGTCCAGCTCGTCGTCCCAGGGATTGTCGTGGTCCCGGAAGAACGTCACTGGGATGCACCCTGAGATGAGCGCCTGGCATGGGGGGTGGGGAAGAAAAATAGGGAAAGGTGAGGGGGGAGGGGGGGGGGTTTAAGAGGGAAGAGGGGGGGGATAAGGGAAGTGCCGTAGAGGAGGCCACGAATGGGACTTTTTAAGCAGGCCTACTACAACAAACGTTTTTACTAAACAAAAGCTGCTGCCACGCAAAGTCATGCCTCCTAAGTGAGGTTGCGTTGGAAGGGAGGGGAAGGCGGATGGGGGAATAAGGGAAGAGCCATTTTGATTGATTGGATTGGTTTCTAACCATGCTTCTCCTTTGGTGGGTGGTTGACCACAATTGTGAACTCAAAGTGACTTTTGAGTCAACTCAAAAGGTTTGTTTCTAACCATGTTTGTCCTTTAGTGGGTTGTTGACCGCAATTGTGAACTCAAAGTGACTTTTGAGTCAACTCAAAAGGTTTGTTTCTAACCATGTTTGTCCTTTAGTGGGTTGTTGACCACAATTGTGGACCCTCCAACCCTTCCTTCCCGCAAGTCGCTACCTTACGTATGATTTCAATTGCTCAACAGTTGGGTTACCGTGACTGTAGCAATCAGAACCTTGAAGGGGCGGCTGGTCAACTGGGAGTGGCATTGACTGGATTTACTTCATTGACTTGAATGACCCACACCCACCCACTCCTACCTTGAAGGGGCGGCTGGTCCACTGGGAGTGGCCGGGCGGGCAGATGCAGAAGACACCCAGCTGCCACTCCTTGTTCGTCTGCTTCTCCCCCCTCGCTGTGAAGCTCCACCCCTTGATGCGGCTCCGCCCATACATCTGCACGCGTGTGTGTGTGTGGTAGAAGGGGAGGGGAAACGCAAGATGCGTGAGTGAGTGCAAAGCTCCACCCCTTGATGCGTTTCCGCCCATACATCTGCACGCGTGGATGGGTTGGGGTGGGGGGAAGGGGGAGGGGGTAGGTATGGTAGAGGTGGGGGCTAGGGGCGGTGGTAGAGGGGGGAGATGCCACCTGTCTGCCCTACACCCCCAACCCCACTTCCGTTTCCCCACACCCACTGAGCAGCTCAGGGAGCAAGTCGTGCCCGTGGTGCACGAGGGGGGGGCCCCGTGGCTCTGCTTGTCTTCTCACTACCCAACCTTGTACCCACAAGACCCCCCACACGCATTCACACACGTACAGCGAGCAGCTCAGGCTGCAAGTCGTGCCCGTGGTGCCTGAGTGGTGCCTGTCATTCTGCTCGACTACCCACCACCCCCAAACCACAAACCCTAAACCATAATCCCCGATTTAAAGCCCAACCCAAACCCCCCTCTCACACATACTTTGCGCAGCTCGGGCCGCAAGTCGTGGCCTTGGTGCACGAGAGGCGCCCTGTGGTTCTGCTTTCCCGAGAAGGCCACTCCCCTCACCCCCCACACACACATGCTTTGAGCAGCTCAGGCCGCAAGTCGTGGCCTTGGTGCACGAGAGGCGCCCTGTGGTTCTGCTTTCCCGAGAAGGCCACTCCCCTCACCCCCCACACACACATACTTTGAGCAGCTCAGGCCGCAAGTCGTGGCCTTGGTGCACGAGAGGCGCCCTGTGGTTCTGCTTGGCTGAGAAGCGGAAGATGGCTCGCATGGTTCGATTGCCTGTGAAGGGCGATACCATGGGCAGCTGGGGGGTTAGGTGGGGGGGATTCAAGCATAAGGGGGGCAGCAGGGAAGGGGGTGAGACGCGGAAGATGGCTCGCATGGTTCGGTTGCCTGTGAAGGGCGACACCATGGGCAGCTGGAGTGGTGGGTGGGGTGTTGGGGGTAACCAACCGCGAGGCACAGGGGATGGGGAAGGGAAACGTGTGGGCAGCAGCGGAAGGAATTGGCTGAGAAGCGGAAGATGGCTCGCATGGTTCGGTTGCCAGTGAAGGGCGATACCATGGGCAGCTGGGGGTTGTGGGAGGGGGGGGGGAGAGGGGGAGGAGGGAGACACGTTTGGGAGGGAGACACGAGGGGGGATTGGGACGCATGGGCAGAAGCAAAGAGAGAGACACGGAAGATGGTGCGCATGGGTCGGCTGCCAGAGAAAGGCGGGCGTCAGGGAACCTAAAGGGGTGGGGGAGAGGATTCGAACATAAGGGGGGGAGCGGGATGTGAGGGGGGCAGAAGCAAAGAGAGAGACACGGAAGATGGTGCGCATGGGTCGGCTGCCAGAGAAGGAAGGGCGTCAGGGAACCTAAAGGGGTGGGAGAGAGGATTCGAACATAAGGGGGCAGACGGGTCGGGATGTGAGGGGGGCAGCAGGGAAGAGGGTGAGACACGGACGGAAGATGGCTCGCATTGTTCCGCTGGTAGAGAAGGGCGACTTTTTGAGACAAAGAGAGTCGTTTGAGACAAAGAGAGTCGTTTGAGACAAAGGGAGACGTTGGAGACAAAGAGAGTCGTTTGAGACAAAGAGAGTCGTTTGAGACAAAGAGAGTCGTT